GCACTCTTTGCTGGTTTTTCCCTGCCAGCCCCATCCTGGATTTTCCTGCTTTTCCCACTCCCCCACAGTGAATTAAACGCTGCAATTGTCCCCAGTTTTTCATTCCTGCAGCAGAACAAATCATTGGCTCTCCTTGAACACACACAATCCTATTTTAGATTTTAAAGGACATCAACTTTTCCAGTTAACAACCAGGCAATAATTAAATACCATTTCCCTGGTGCCACTTAATTAATCCCTAATTTGGAGAAACACTGGCAGTGAGGGGGTATAACATGGAATGGCTAAAAAACAGAATTAAGGAGTGGGAAACTCCTGGAATTGTGCTGGTTTTTATATCCCAGGTGTATCCCTGAGACACAGGACACTCTGAACATTTCCTGGGATGACCAAAACTCCAAGGAAAAAAAGGATGGAGGTGGGGAAGAGCAGGGCAGGTAATCAGAGCAGACAAAAGTGAAAATTTCTGGTAATTCCTAAGGATAAAATGCAAAGAGAAAAAAAGAAATTCCCACTTTTCTGAGGTTTCAAGGCCCTGCTAATGTGAAGCTTTAATTATTTTTGCAGTTTGGGGTTTTTATTAAACGTGCACTGAAATCTGAAACTTCCAGCTAATAGAACACATGTGGAGGTAGACAGAGCTCCTCTGGAATGATTTCATTCATTCCATGCTCAGGGATGCCAGAAAAACAAAATCTGAGCTCAGAGCAACCACCAGGACACTGAAGGCAAGAGGGGGGAAAGTCCAATCAGCAGAATTCTGCAGAAAAGCCAAGGTTTGGTACCTGAGCACCTGAGAGATTTCCCTGCTCACATCTCACCAGGGTTTGTGCTGTTTTCTGCCTCAGCTCCCCAAGTTCCTGCTCTGTGAATCTTTCACTGGAATTGGGATGGAGAAGCTGCAGCACCAAACCTCACCTGCCCAGGGGAACCCCCAGGCCCTGCTGTGTGCCCAGAAAATCATGGAAAACAGGAATTTCCACAGGAAATATTCCCACAGAGCATTCAGCAGCAGCCAGGCTCGGATTCAGCCTTCAGTGAGGATATATTGATTATTCAGCTGAAAACACTCAGCCTCAGAAGCCCCATTTTATTCCTGATTATCCAGATTAGGCTTCAAAGCATCCACAGGAAAAAGCCTGGAAAATAATGGACAGGTGGGAAAATTCCAAAAGTTTCTTGGAGCAGCTGCTCTGTGCTGGGTTTGCCTCCCCTCATTATCCCACTCCTGGTGCCAAGGAAAGGGATCAGCTCCACTCCCAGCCCCAAAGCAGCAGCAGGGTTTGGCTGAGCTGCTTTTCAGGAATTAATGCCAAAATCCCCCAAATCTCTGCTTGCTCCTGGTTTTTAATCCACTAAAAACACCAATTTCCCAGCAAATACTTCAGGAGGAGCTGAGGGATCCTGGGAATGCTCCTGGTGAAGCTCAAGGCACTGAAGATCCTTCACATCAAAATGTAGCTGAGTGAGTAAAGAAAAAGCAAAAACTCAGCATTTCACCCTTTGTTCTGACCAAAGTTTAAAGAGCTCAGAGCACAGGTAGTTAAAAAGAATTCCCTAAAAACTGAATGTCAAAATGATTTCCCTGAATGTCAAAATGATTTCCCATCCATGTGTGTACAGTCCAGGAGAGAGGTTATCCCAAATCTCAGTGATAGCACAGACAGATAACACCATTAAAATCCCAGAAAAGATCATTAATCATCCTTTTCTTCCCTGTCTCACAACCCTGTGAATGCACAGACACATGGACACACAAATTTCCACAGGAATAGGAAATGCAAGGGGAAAATAATGCTGTGAGGGTTTAATTACAAATGAATTCAATTTAATCTACGTGCCACACTCAGAGAGATAAAAACCCACCCAGTGTTAAGGTGTCATTTGGACAGCAATATTTCACAGAGAAGGAAAAAAAACCCAATAAACACCAAAATAACATCTCCAAAAAATCACCTTGCCAAGATTCACTCCTGCTGAAGCACCTCTGATGCAGCCCTGAGCAAAGAACATTTCCAGGGCTTTATTTTCTTGTTGAAACCCAAATATTGCCAAGTTCAGAGTGCTGGGGGCTCCTCTGGGCCCCAAACCTGCTGATGGCAGAGCCTCCATCCCAGCAGGACCCCAGATAGATCCCAAGTTATTCAGATTCACCAGGAACCAAACAATTCCTCACACTCTGATGCAGTAATTACTGCAGAACAGAGCTGAAAATCCCTTAAATATTTGTTTTAGCCTGGTTTTTATCCACTAAAAAATAACCATAACTAAAAAATAACCATAGCTAAAAAATAACCATAACCAAAAGATTCACTAAAAAATAACCATAACTAAAAAATAACCATAACTAAAAAATAACCATAACTAAAAGATTCACTAAAAAATAACCATAACTAAAAAATAACCATAACTAAAAAATAACCATAAATAAAAGATTCACTAAAAAATAACCATAACTAAAAAATAACCATAACTAAAAGATTCACTAAAAAATAACCATAACTAAAAAATTTCAAGCAATGGAAGCCCTGCTGATGGCAGAGCCTCCATCCCAGGCAGGATCCCAAACATCTCCCAGTTTATTCAGATTCACCAGGAACCAAACAATTCCTGGTGAATCTGACTTCTTTTGTTGACTGAAATGTTAATTCCATTTAAATATCTGGAAAATTCAGTTTTAAAAGAGATATACCAACACTAAATGGAATAATAATCACACTCTGATTCATGTGGCCTGGAAGCTTCTTGCAGGATGATTTTTGTGCTCTGTTTTAGCAGAATTTAACATTTTAAGTGTATGTGAGATCAAATGTGAGCAGTTCTGGGAATCCTGAGCTCAGTTCCATGCTCAGTGACTGCTCAGCCAAGGAAAAGCTGCTTTTCCTCACCTGCTGTTTGCAGGAGCACCTCAAAAAACCTCTCATCAACAAGGACAAGAGCAGATCTGCTTCCCTCAGCACAGCCATGCCATGGAATAGGATAAAATGTAAATAAAAAGGTAATTTTTTCAATCAATGTTGTTCCTGGGGACTGAGGAGAGCAGACAGGAACACCCTGGGCTCTCAACCCAGCTCCTCCTTGGAGGCCAAAGGAGGGAGAAAACAGAGGGACAAAACATCCTGCAGGAATGCTGAACCAAATATCAAATATCTCCATCAGGTTTTATCCTTTTGCAAGTTATTTCTATCACCAGAGCAGGTTTGGCTCTTTAAAACAGGCACTAAAAATGGGGATCATCCCAATCTCCATCAAAATCCAGGGAAAATGCTGCTGGCACCCAGAGCTGCTCCTACCTGCCCGTCCTGACCCACGTGCACCTGGTGGATCTGCAGGTTCCCCTGGAAAAGGAGACAAAGGACAATCAGCACAAGGCTGGGAATGCAAAAAATGAAGAAAAATCTGTTTTAATGTGAAGGAAATTGTGAATTTTAAAAGTTCTGCTCAAGGTTCTTCAGGCAATCCAGCTCCACTCAGCCTCACAGCAAGGACCTTTCCCACCCAGCATGTTTTGCCTTTTTTTTGGTTTTATGTAAAATTTTTCTGATGTAAAACTTCTGATTTTCCTTCTTTATAAAAACCTGCAAATTGAAATCCAGCCCTTACTATCCCAGAATTAGGAATCCAACACTTTTACAGGTTTGCAGAGCTATTTACTATTTGCTTTTTATTTATCCTCATTCCATATTGAAAACCAACACAGTTCTGTTACAGGGATTACATCTATAATAATAACAATTTTAAAAAACTCAATAAATCAAAGTATTTTAGGCTTCAAAGTCCAATCAGGAAATCTTTATGACATGAAGTTTTTATTCACATGCTCACTGATGTCTTTCCAAAAGTACACTTGGATTAAGGAAAGGCAGCTTCCCAAAAGAGCCTTGCAGTGAAGCAGCACAATTTGGAGGACAAAATCCCCTTTTTGTGCAGTTTCTCCTGCTGGCAGCTCCTCTCTCACTTGTGTACATTGTCATCAATTTAAAACCAGATGTTTTCATCTGTCAGGGACAAATGCAGCCTTTGAAAGTTGCACAGACAAGAGGAGCCAAAGGATCCAGGCTGTGCTGGAACCTCAGGATCCAGTCCAGCAATCTCTGCTGAATCATCACTTTTTCAGTGGTTCTTTACCCAAAAACTCCCTCAGTTTTATGGCAGCACCACACTTTAGAGCCAGGATATTTTAATCCTTTCTTCTCCCTCTCAAGGCCTGACAGGCCCTTCAAAGGACAAGCCTTTAACTATAATATTTATAGAATTTTTATGATAATATTTATTCTCCAGTAGCTGCCTGTGTTAACAATATTCCTTCACAAAGTGGTTTTATGAGCTGTGATTTGGGTTCTTTGGACAGGGATTAAACCAAGCCAGGCAGATCCACTTCCCAGAGAGGGAAAACCCTGACAGGGAAATGGGACAGATTCAAATTGTTGCCTGTGTTAATGTTTAACCTGATTTTTCTATTCCTTCTGCATTGAAACAAAGTGCATGAGAAATTCAAGAGCAGTTTCAGCAGTCAGGAGATTTTTAAATAACCAATAACAGCAGCAAATACACAGGGAAATCCACCTGGATTTGGGAGCTGAGCCTAAATTGGAGGGTATGGGATTGAATATTTCCAGTTATCCACATCCCTTTATCCATCCCATTCCACTGGATTATTTTTCTGGAAAAAAAATTTTCAGAAGTGCAAATACTGTGGTGCCAGATAAGCTGGTCAGGAATGGAGGGTAAATTCATTCTGGAATATTTCTTTATTAATTGGTGGCTGAAGGTTTCTCCAACTCCTGTTCAACCACTAAAGGCCCTGAGTGTTCTGACCACATGTAGTTCATCAGCCTAAACAGAATAATTTCATTTTTAAGCACTGCAAGAACCTGGTTTCCTATTAAACTCTGTCAGAAGTGAATTTCCAAAGATCATCAGCCTTATGCAACAATTAACACACATTGAGCTGTTTTGGCTGCTGAGGGAGGGAAAAATAAATCAAAATAATAGCAATAAAAATAAATAATACCAATTTAAAAAGAAACCCCTGAGAGCCCAGAGACAGAAGCAGCAGGTTCTAAAGCACATTTTGTGCTGCTTCCAGCCCATTCCTCATTT